GCATTACTTTATAAAAGATATTGTGCTCAAAGTGTTATTAATCCAAGAGCTCAACCAACAGTATTTCTTCCAACTGAAGTAACAAGACTAATTCCACATGTAGAACATAATTTAAGAAATATTACAAGAGCACTTGAAATTGGTTCAGGTGATTTAGAAACTATTTATAAGCATGGAATGAAAATTAGTGCTAAGTATCAAAAACAATGTGCCCTTTGTCGTAAACAAGCAGCTAGATATGATGCTAATCAATTAAATGCTATTGAAGAAATAGGTGAACGTTTAGAAGAATATTTAAAAGAATTAGAAAAAGAAATTCAAAATAATTCAAATAAACCAGTTGAACCTACTACATTTTCTGTAGATGAAAGTGAATTAGTTAGACCAACTTCTTGTAAGTTTAATGTCTCATTATTACCACCACCTTCATCTCCAAAACTTCGTTCTATTCTTCATTATAGAGGAGAATCACCTACTTCTCCAATATCTCAAAGTTGTTGTTATTCACGTAATGACAATCATTTAGAATCATCTGGAGATCTTTCTCCATTCTGTAATTTCTCATTATCTCTTGACCCATCAAAATCTCCATTAAAGGGATGTACTCCAAACATCTTTAGTTTTGATGAAGATTTACAATTTGATCAACACCAACCTGGTCCGTTACAAAATTCTTTGCTTTGACATTCTCAAAACTCTTAATTATAGGATGGTGGCTGGAAGTAAGTTTATTATTAACAATATATTTTCTTTGAGGTTAAATTTTTTTTTAGTGTTAATTAATAAAATGTATTGAAAGTTCTATTTATTATCTTTGAATTTTGCAAAAATAAAAAACATCTTATCATAAAAATATGCATTTCAGTCTTTATTTTTGTTTAATTCTCTTTTAAGAAGGATTATTCTATTCATCGAATATACAATCATTTCTTAATGGAGAATTTTTTTGTATTTCATTTGGTATATGTTCTAAATAAAATTTGTTTTTTTATTTGAGTTTTTGTATGCAAACTTCAAAAATTGTTTTATTGGAAAATTTATCACTTATTTTTCCTAACAGGAAATAGCTCAAAAATATTTTAAACCACACAGAAGAGAAGATAATAAATTAACAATATTTTTTAAATATTAGAAGAGTAAATGACTATTATCTAAATAGTCAAGTAATTAAAATAATAAGTGTCTGGCATTAATCACACTAATAAACAAAATATAATAAGTATTTAATACAAATAAATAATATTATTAAGTAAATTAAGAAGAAATTATAAGTCGTACATTTGTCTAAATTAAATGATAAAAATAATCTAAATTAGTTATAAAAGATAAACTCCCCCTTTTTAATGAAAAAAAACAAGAAAGATACTGACTTACAGGAAATTAAAACATAACAAAGAAATTCTCCTCAGATTGAATATCATTTCTTAATTGAAACAAATCTGATAATGCCTTCTTAAGTTCTTCTGCTGTATCACTGTCTTCATCAATATTTTGTAATGCAATTTTAAGGTGTTGTTCTATTGAACGAAATTTATCAAGTAAAGAACTATTTGGTGTGAAGCTAGGTGATGGAACAGGAATTTGAGAAATAACAGAATTCTTAGGAGGAATAAGTTTTTGTTCTTTTTGTTTTCTCCAGAATCCAGATTCTCTTTTAACTATAACTCGTTGTTTAAAATAAAGATTCCTTATAAGTGGTTGTTCAAACCACATACAACTTGCTAATGCAAGGTTTATTATAAAGTCTGGTGAATGTTCATCTATTGGATAATTAAATAATACTGAATATGCATGTGTTGCATCTCCATCTAAAATTTTTGCACGTTGTAAAATTATCATAACAACACAAATATGATCTACTAATGATAGTCTTCCACTAAATGCAAAAATAACGTCCCACATTGGTTTAATTGTATTAATAGGATATACTTGACAAAATAATAAACGAACCCATCTTAATAGAAATAATTGCATTTCAATTTTAAGTGTTTTTAAATGGATAGCTAACTCTTCATCTTTAGTTTCAAGTATCGATTCTATAACTTCACAACGTTTTGATATCCAACGAACACCATCATCACCTCCTTTAAACCAATCTCCCATTATTTCCATTAAATCTTTAAAGAACCAAAATACTTCTGACTCTAGTTCAACTCCATTTTTATTAGTTCCAAACACATCAATAATAATTGAAATAATTTCATTCATTCCTTGAACATATTCAAATTGAGTATCTAATTGATGAAGTAACAATAGTTTATGTAATAAAAACCTTTTTTTTAAAATGTCCTTATCAAAATGAGTTCTTCTTGCATCTTTTTTAATTTCCCAAATAGTTCTTCTTAATGACATATCCTCTATTTCTTTAGGTTCTTTAGATAAAAAGTCTGGTGAATAAGAGTCTATTGGATTTTCTTTTTCGAAGGCTGTTAATTGCTCATGATATTTTTTACATAATTCAATATATTTATCCTTTCTTTCTTCATCAATCTTTTTCCATAATTCTGGAGTAGGAGGAAGGAAAGATAAAAAAACTTTCCACCGTAATGGTAATGTAGTTTCTACTTTGTTTGGTCTCCAAATTGTTCGTTCACGTTCAAAACCAGGATTTATAGCAAATTGTTCAGCAAAATCATCATATGCTGTTTCTTGTGGTGTTTGAGTTATAAAAAAAGCATTTACAAAAGATGCTGATAAACTTGATGTATGTACTCCAAGTTGTTTTGCTATATCACGTAAATCATTCATTTTATGATTAATAACAGTAATTTGCACAGTTTATAGTTTATTTTCAAAAATTTTTTTCTTCTTTCTTTTTTTTCTGACTTTTTTTTTTTTTCTTGTTTATTATAATTTTTGATTTATTTTGACGTTTTTATTACTAGTTCTTTTAATTTTGCAGTTTATTTAGTAAAAGAAAGTGTTATAATAAAAGAAGTAGAGGTAATTTAATAGAGATGAGAAGTGTTGAAATAAAAAAAAATGAATATTATTACGGTTAATGATACTAACTAAAAAAAGTTAGTTATAACTGTTATGAGAAATCGTCAATTCAATCCAGTCATTTAATAAGAAAAAAAAAGAAGAAAATAAAAAATAAAGTTTTGAACAAAATAAAATAGTGATTCTTTTATGAAAAATATAAAGCCAAACAGTGGCTCCTTTTCAAAAGAAGCTGCTAAATTTAATTCATGTGCTAAACAGTTTAATAAAAAACATTCAAGTAATACAGTAACTTCTTTATTATGTGCACAACGCTTAACATTACTTCTTTCTTCTTCACAACCACCAACAATAATACCAACATTATATGAAATTTGGGATTCTTGTTTACTTATTGCATTAGAAATAGAAACAGACACTACGTTACTTAATTTACTTATGACAGTTATTACTCATCCATTATTTTATGAAAATTTCTCATCAGATACATCAAGTAATATGTATTCATTGTATCGTGACCATTTAAAAAAAACACTTGACTTTGTAATTAAAGGTTTGTCTCGAATGACATTCGACATTGTTCTACCATCTGCAATTTATAGAGGAACAGTAGATTCTCTTCATACAGAATTAGAAAAGAGAACATGTTCGATTGATGCAGAAAGACCAGTAGTTGTAGCTCAATCAAAGAAAAAAGTGTCAATATTTTCACGATTTAAAAAAGGAAAAGATAAAGCATTAGTAATGAATGTTTCTGCTGAGTTTGTTCCTTTTTCAGTAAAATTCTTTGCATTAGCATATTTTAGATTTCCATCGTTCAGAATTAAATTAACACAATATTATACAAATTTATTTCAAATAAAAATTAATTATTCACCAAAAAAATCACTTCTGAAACATTTTCCAACATTACTTTGTTGGGATGAATTTGATCAAAAATTAAAACCAATGGAATTAGAAATTGTTTGTTTCTAATATTTAATAAAGAGAATATTTTATAAAAAAAAACACAATCTGACTAATAGGATTTATCATTCTTAAAGAATGAAAAAGCGTTTTTTATAATGACTTTTAGAGAAGTTGTTTCTGTATTAGAAAAACATACAACAAATAAGTTTGTTATAATATTTTTATGATATTATAAAATTACTTTTATAAAACAAATAAATAATTATATAATAAAAAAAATGTTATTTAATAATTAGAGTTTTACAATGGTCTACATTTAATGGATTTGATGTTCTTCTTGAAACGTATTTAAAATATTATAATACTTTAGATATTTCAGATCCATATATACATACTATAGATGGTGTAATTGTTACATCAGTTCATCCAAAGATGATTAATTTTTTTATGAGTTATGAAGTAAAAAGAACGAATTTCTTTGATCCCGATGAAGTTTTATGTTTGTTTTATAAATAAATAAAAACAATAACATAATAAATTAATAACGAATAGCAACAATATCAGACCTTGAATTTTTTTTTGATAAATTACGAAATAAAGTATTATTATTAAAAAAAGAATTTGATATTAAATTGTTTTGTAATTTCATTGATAAAATTATTGAAAGTGAAAATGTTATTACTATTCAAAGAATATTAACATTATTATATTCATATGCTGATCTTTTTAGTAGTCGTACTAGACAATACTTTTTTTTGGATTATCTTCTTGATAAACAATTTAACTCATTAGCATATTTTTGGGAAGAAAATGTTATTAGTTTATTTACTCAATTACTTTTATTTAAAGGAACTTTTGCAAAAGTTAAAAATATTGAAAATAATTCTTTAGATGAAGTTGAAAAAAAATTATATGAAGTTCAAGAAAGTATTGATGGAATAACTCCATTACAATTAGATATTAAAATTATTAAAAAAGTAAGAAGAAGATTTGAAAAGATAAGATTAGAAAAATTGACACATTCTCAAAAGAATTTTATTAAATCAAGTAAAAGATTGTATGAATATTTTACTGAAATTTATAATGATTGGCAAAATTCAGGATCAGGTGTTTTTCCAAATCTAGTTTTTGTTCATTCAATTAAAGAGAAAGATGAAGTTGATGTTGGAAATCTTTTCTGATTAATTTTATGTTGTTCGTTTTTTTTTTTTTTGTTTAGTATCTTTTTTTTTGTTATTCTTTTTTCTTTATAGAAAAGTTAAAGATAAATTTCATAAAATAATAAATTAGTTTATTATTTATATAGTTCTTTATAAAGTTGAAAAATCCAAAAGTCAAGAAAGAAATTTCATTATGTTTTAAATTATTTTTCAATAAAAATATTCTTGTAATTAAAGAAAATCATTATTTACTAATATATTTATTATTTTCATTACAAATTTTTTCTATACTAAACGATTATGAATAATCATAAACGAAAATTCAATAGTTTCAGTTAGAATATTTAATCTTATTTTTTTAACTTAAAATTCATTAATGAATTTCTTACTTTTATTCATTGCTGTTGCTTTTGCTCAAACATGCAATTCAAATAATGGTCAATTTGGATGTAAT